ACTTTGAGCACAATTTTTCACGTGCGCGTTTTGTACTATTATGAATGAACATTTCATGAGCAGGCTGTGCATGTATTGTATATCGCGAAGTATAGATTCGCGATTCGCGCTCCGCTATTGGCCGAAATTATCGCGCCACATTGGAATAAGGGCCTCGGATTGGTCCAAAAGCACGTCAAGATCAGGGTGGCAATTAGGATTTGGAGGTCTAATTTAATTTTGAATAACTTCACATGTATTCGAATTGTGCGTATTATGCACTTGTTGGCAAATGGTCGTTATTAGATTAAAATAGCAATTCAAACCCACTTAAGAATATTTAGAGTAAAGAGCGACATTTCAATGCAAGGATTTAAGATTTATAACATGCAACAGCGAACAAAATTTGATAACCAGATAATTCTGAATTTGACCAGTATTTGAAATTAAAATTGTATAAAAATATACACCTAGCTTTTCTTTACGATTTTCTATCTAAAGTACATTCATATCCTATTATAATATATAGTGTTACAAAATCTAACAAGTATTTATTTTGAATTTTTATACATATTAAAAGTTTTTGAAAAAAAAATTTGATTAATGATATAAAACATACTATAAAACTTGAATAAAAATACCGCACAGTATGGATAAAATATATGAAAATTCCGTATTGATACAAGAATCTTATAAGTTTTCTTTCCAAATATAACCTTAATAACACAAATTCCTATCACTGACAACTACTTAAAATGATGTATTAACACCCTAAATTAAAAAAAACTCACCTTAATCCTTGTAAACTATTAATCTCAACCAACACTGTTAGCTTAAGTTCAAAATATAATATATATATTAGAGATTTAAAATAAATGCGAATTGTATCACAGCACTGCACAGTTATTAAAGCTCGACTAAACCTATTTATAAAATTACGTTATCACTGGCTCACATTTTCATTTATCTATTCATTAAACTGTATATTTGATTATTATTGTGATTAACATTGAATAACATTAATATCACTCAATGCGGGTCAAAGCAGCTGACCTAACGATTGATTAAACTAGACTACACTGCCATTTATTTTCTTGACCTATCCGTGCGCCGGCTTTTGTGATAGTGGTTGTAATAAAACTTGTACATTTTAGCACTGGGCTTCATTATGGTTACTAAAACTTAATAATTACTTCATATTTTATCAACAATCAAGATGACTTCAGCCAACGCATTTTAACACTGAAACTCGCTTTGTATAAATAGAATTTTCGAGGTTCTAGCGAATATGACATTTCTCAATGGCTGTCAAACGAATGAAGTTTGACGATTTTTGTTAATTTATTATTTTACTAACTCAAAATATTATTAATACTGAGATTACTCATTTTACTTAAAACATGACACGTTGCTTTCTTTATATTTACACTTTTCTAAATGAAAATAGAAATTGAGGTTAAGTACTGACAGTTATATCAATGGCTGTCAAATGGGCATTCGCTGTTGACATTTGGTTTGCAACTTTGCTTTTGAAAACATGTTAAATCAATTGACAGTTTGACAGTTCCATTATTATTAATTTAATTTTATTAATTATTTAATAATACTCTTTTTTTATTAATATATAAATGATGTTGATGATCGCAATGCTTCTGAATAAAATAAATATTTAGGTTCTAAAAAAGACTAAATAAAAATAGGACACCAAATTAGATTCAACATAATGGTTATACAGCTTTGTAATTTAATAGAAAAATGGAAAATTGCCATAAATACAAGCTGTTGAAGTGATTAAAGTTAAATTTTACATCTATGTGAATACTTACATCTATCCCTTTCAAAAATACCCTCTACATCTTCAAAATAGATGTGCCATACAAGTTTAAGTTTAGTTATCCCTTAACCTCCAACAATGTCTTCTTTAATTCGCAAATACTGGTTTCATGCCGGAATCCTATTTGCCATTATCATGGCTATTTTCTATCCATCGCTAGGTGAAATGGGTGGTATGCTACAAAATCACAAATCAAATACTTTCAATATATTTGCACTTATTTATTTTCAGGACCCCTGCAACCAGAAATGACGATACCGTACATAGTCACACCAATGACCTACTTATTAACTCTCCAAGATCACAATTACTACAAAAACTCGCTAAATAATATGTGACATGTATCAATTATTTTATTTCTGTGCTACATCATAAGCCCGGTGGTTGCGTACAGCATTGCAACAATAGCAAAATTATTTTCAGTTAATGAATGGATCTTGAAAGGGTATTACTTATAAGATTATTTTTATGTTAATTTTCAATTGTTCTTTTTTAGATACTTACTTACTTACAAATGCATTGAATCATCAAGTTATAATTTTTTTAAATAATTTGTTACTCATAAGTAGTTTACTCAAATCAAAGTATGCAGACTTCATAAAAGTGCAAAAAGTGGTTTCAATCAATCAATTTTATCGAATTCATTTATAATTTTAATGTTGTTAATAAAAGTTTACTAATTACATTTATAGTCTTATATAATTACAAACTTACAAGCATAAATCTCTTTAATCCAATACTATATCATATTATAGACTCGTGGCAACCAGTTGTATGCCTCCCCCGTTGTCTTCTGGGCTACTGTTATGTTCCATAACAAATAACAAGAACCAGAAAATAAGAGAATTTGAATCATTACCTACAACACATTTTGATCAAGAAATTATAGATATCTCAAATCTTCCAGATAACTTATTAACTGCTGGTTTAACCTGTGTTATTGGTGCAATTGTTGGCTGTGTAGCTACACCGATATTACTGTTCATTTTTGTATGTACCCAATTAATGATGATCATAAAATAATATAAAATATTACTGAATTTAATTATTGTCAATTACAGATAGGCGTAGGTGCTATACCGATGGTTATAGAATGCTTAATTGCCTCATTGATAGCTTTAATATCATTAGGTGTTTGTTATTTCTGTCCAATAAGGATTTGCTTTGGGTATATCAAACTTTATTTTTTTATGTATTCAACTTGTTATAAGAGTTAAATACTATTTTAGCAAAACGAATTGTAACTTGGCAATCGCACAAATGCTAATGCTATTCTCCCTTTACTGTGATATGTGTGATGTCTTCATAGAAGCCCAAGGAGGACTTCAAGCAATTGACGTTCTAGCTAGTTTATTACTAGGTATGATTTTTGGAGCAATAACTTTTTATTTCATAAGCTCTTCTTTGATATCTGAAAAGTATGTAACATAGTTATTCTTATTTTCAGTGTTCTTATTGCAATTTGTTCTACTTGTAATGTCAAAAATTATCTGTAATGCAGATAATAATTCAAATTTATTGATTCCAATGATATTTTGTGGCACACATAAATCCGTAACATTAGGTAAGACAATAAATAAAACCTATTCTGTTTACTTGATACATTATTACATATATAATTGATATTTTTTTCAATCATTCTAATTTCATTAAAGTTGATTATTACTTGTTATTTAAAATAAATGTTTCTGAAAAAGCAATGAGTACAATGATTAATAATATTGAGACAATATTCTAATTGATTTAACTGTACTCATTACAAATTTTATTTAATATGACAATAGAATCAAATGTATTTTTTACATATTTATTTTATTTATAGGATTCCCTATTATGCAAACAATGTTTGGCGGGTTGTCACATCATATGTTCTTCAGTCTACCTTTATTACTTTACTATGCAACGCAAATGTTTATGGCCATGTTATTGATTCAATCTGGCTATTTGAATAATTATTGAATCGTTTCCAGATAAAAAAAATTAAATTAAAATAATAAGGTAGTGTATTAATAACTAAGTCTTTTTTATTAAGTAATAGAAATATTTATATAAAATGTAAGAAGAAATATTTGAGTCGGCGCACAATATTGAAGCACACATTTTTAACTTATAATATTATTAAACAAAATTATATAATAATGTTCTATAAGTCTTCTTGCAAAATTTGCTAGTAATAAAATAATTGGAAATTGATAGAGCCGTTTTACTTACATCTTTAATAATTTAGGACAAATAAGCACTCTAACAGTTCAATATTATAAATCTTGATACGAAGCCCATAGAAATGTAAAAAAAATGTATACTTATTATTGAAAATTTAATAAAACATCTGATAATTTGATGTGCATGTCGAAATGATCATTTTTGACTGACAAATGGTATTTTTTTATAAACTTTTAAGTTTTATTTCTGTAACCGCTGGACATACCTTTCCAAAAATTTAATCAATTTCTTAATTTTGTTAATTCAAATAAAATGTTTTTGTGAAACATTCAAATCGGAGGCTCCGTTCTTTCTAAAACTGTCTGAAAATATAATTCAAATTCAATAGTTTATCAAATAATTTTGAGTAGCGCTTTTATTATAAAAATAAGCAACATCAATATCTAAAATCATAATTATAGACACATTGATTTGCTAAATTTGTGGAACACAATTATTAATTAATTCTATCTGCATTATAAGACTGCAAATATATAATACTATATATAATTATAAAATACTATGATCATATATGCAATATACTTAAGTACATTTTAGGTGCTATGATTAGAAGAAATAATTCAAAATAGTGTTATTAATTTTGATCACAAATTACATTTTTATTCTATGACTTATATTACCTAATTAATATTATATATTTATATAAAAATGCTAAATATGAATATGATATGAAAGGCAGTATCGAATATGCATATTGATGAATAATTTTATATGAAGTCAAAAATTATAATCGTTGTAGATATTAAAATTTAAATAAGTTTAGATAGTCATGAAGACCTAAGTCATAAATGGCGTATTTTATGAAATATATAAAATAATGATTAATGAAATGCTCTGCTAACTCTAGTACTAATATAATGTAATATAATAATTTTCATATGGCCAATAATTTTATATTGATTTTTTATTTGATTAACATTTAAGTACTATAGAAGTATTTGTATAATATATATCATCTTTATAGTAACTAATGAATAACGAGTTCTTTGAAATGTGATAACAAAGAAACCGTGTAATTTCATTTGTTAAAACGATAGTAAAGATTGAATGAATAAAAACAATAAAATTTAAAATACGAGATATACAAAAGTAATTTTTTATACTGTGAGTGGCCAACCAGTAGATACTAAACGGAGTAAATGATGAGTTGTAATATAAAGTTACATGGGCCCATAGAGGGTTGATGTATATACCTCCCAAATCCACAAAAAATTCTTTGCATTACTGAGAATGATGAAAGCTGGTGAGTAAAATTGATTTAAAATTAATTGATACCAGGTGATAATCATATTATATCGCAATTTTGCAATATAAAAGGGTAACACCGCTACAAATTTTTCATTAATTTCAATACTCGCCAATTATGCAAAAATCTATATTTATAAAATATCCTACGTAATTCCTAAGTGTTTCATATTTCTCTAGGTGTAAGCATTGTACAATGTTTAAGTGTTTTTTTTCTACATCCAAAATTGCGCATCAAATTCTACGTGCCTTGCGATAAATCGTCATTATTGAATAATTTTCTATTGTAATTAATCCTACAATGATGTTACCCTTTAATAAAATAAATTTTACTTTTCATTCATTAAGTTAATATTATTAAAATTTGTTTAAAATCCACTTCTTCCCACCTACAAATTCTGCAGTCACAAATTTAACCAGTTAACTGTGATTGACGAGTATACTCGTCATGAAGAAATGGCAGAATTTTGTGTTTTGACGAGTATACTCATCATGCGCATAAATCAGTTACCATTGTATATTTGAATTGTAATTTTTGAGAAAAACAGAACATATTTTTAAGTTTCTAGATGTGTAGAATATTTTGAAGTTGACCACCATAATTTACGTAATATTGTTTTTTTATATACAGTAATATTAACACATTCACTACTAACCTTGTGCCGCTTATACTTTGCTAACATTTCTGAACATGTTAGCTGGAAAAAAAATCAGAACATGATAAACGGAACTATTGAACTGTTTGAAAAAATACAGCACAAAATTTTGGTACAAACGTTTTATTTTACTAAAAAAAACTCTACTCTTAGTGCAAGGAAGACGAACGCATCTACTGCGTTCGGCGTCTGGCTATTGACGCGTGTGAATGTGTTAAATAATAAAAATTAAGTGTAGATACACGAATAATATTGTTTGGTTACTGGAAGTGTTATATTTAAATTTAATTAAGTAAAGCTTTCTCAAGTTTACTATCGTTATCAATCTTATTTATACCAGTTTTACCATTGACGTTCGTCATTTGAGTTACATTGGAACTTGATATGATACTCTTGGTGGTGGCAGCGTGTGGTGGAATTGCCTTACCGCGCAGTGTATAGTACCTGGTAAAAAACGAATGATTGATTTTATTATTTCAATAAAAATTGTGTATTCCATTTTACTGTGAAAGTGTTCAAAACATGCATATTAAGGTGCGTACCAACATTCCCCTAACCAAAACAATGTGTTTGTGTTAGTTTATGGCATTTAGTTGATGCTTGAAAATCAGGCAATTTCACACGTGGTACGGGCACATGCATCAGAACCTAATTCCTACTTTTTGTTCGTATTATACGATCCCTATCGTTTTAGAGATACAATTTAAAATATATAAACGGTGTAAAAAATCAGTGCACTTTTTGTGCATTTAGTATAATTTTTAATTGCCAATTTTATTTTAATATGAAGAGATGGTAATCAGAGTAGACCATCCCACAAATTGAAGCAATCTGAGATTCGGTGAGGATATGATGAGTTTTTTACCAAATAATGTTACCAATCACAATATCTGCTATTAATTGACATCAAAAATCTCCTGTGACACTATAATTGTTTCAAACCCAGAGTGGACTATTGGCGCTTCTATTTCTTTTATAAAAATAAAAAAAAACAAGTAAAATAAAATAAAGATATTTGATGGTAAGTAGTTGTAAACTTATTGGAAATAATATAATAATATCTAAAAAATAGAAAATGCTTCGACACAGTTTACATGGCGTTCAAGTATATTTGGAATAGTCGACTCTGTTCACCTCATATATTTCCTTGTTATTGGGGACTATTATGATGTTCAACATATTGCGCTATATTTGAACCGGATAATAATCACAGATAAAACAAGTATTTAAAATATGCAGATATTACAAGAACCACAATATTTACTCAAATTATGAAAAACCAAAAAGAATTTAATCCACACCATTGCCCAAACCTAAAGTTATCGACTGATTATATATATATTATATATGTTAATGACTATTATTATATACCCACACAAAGGTTCTGCATTTTTTTCACATATATGTTATTAACATTCTAGAAATCTACAAAACTGTAATAAACTACTACCACACGTTATGATACATTTAGTAATACTTCTAAACATGGAAGTGGTGAAAGTGTCGAATCTACACAACTTTTAGAAGTTGTGTAAATAAAATAGAAAATATTAGCTAGTTCGAAAAGTAATTTTTTTGAAATAAAGATTATACTGGTATTTTTGCATCAAATTTGCATGTTCAATCGATTGGACATCATTGGGTAGTACCAGAACGATAAACAACATTTTTGTCATAACTTTTTTACTATCATAAAGAAGAGTCAGTACTTAAGTGTAAAACTGGTTTGCAAAATTTTGATTTGACAATTTTGTTGTACCACAAATATTAGTTACAGAAAATTAGTCAATAAAAATACCACCAATTGAACTGATGATCAACCGTTCATTAAATTAATTCATGACTGAATTAAAATAAATAAATTAAATGATACAAAAAGGTAAAAAAATATTTTGCTTTTTTATGTTTTCATTAGTACGAAACAATGTATAATGCAAGAGAAATAAGATTAGGTCGGAGCAAAAGAGGACGACACTTGAAGAAAAATTAATATTATAGATATAAAATTAGTGTGCTAAGATTGCCGAAGCCAAATAAACCAAGACGATCTAAAGAACCACATCCAACCATATTTATCAAAGAAAACGTTCAAAAACCTTTCATTAAGTTAAATAACAAATATCTTGTCGATATTTCTTATAATATCACAGCCTTTAATCTTCGATGCAAAATCTCGCATTTTTATTAATTTGAGGATAAAAAGAACACTCATATTGAAGTGGCATCTGTTGTTATAATTTTTTCCGTTGGACAGCAAGCCATTAATATTGGATTCATAATTTTGCTCGGATGTTTAGGTAAGAATCTAAAATAATTTTGTTTAATTATTAATTTGAGTTCTGATTCAGTGTCTCTTCAATAATTAGCATCTGTTAATTGAGAAATAGATTAATAAAATTGAATTCAAACTGAGTAATAGATTAAAAAAACTTTTACCAACAACGATTGTGTGACTTGCAAAGTTATCTAAAATGTTTTACACTTACAATCTCATTTTAAAAATTAAAACAATACATGTAAAATATTTAAAATTCAAAAGTGAAAAGAAGTAAATTGTGTATACATCCAAACTTAATACAATTTTAGTATAATTCTTACCTTCTGATAAGTAGCTTTTTAATTTTTGGTTTGAAAACAAAAATTAGGAAAATCAACAACCCTTGGATAGAGTTGAATACATCAGTAGCAATCCAAAGCCATTTTGATCCACCAACAGCCCAACTCAGGATTTCCATCGACCAATTTACTCCCATCACCAGGAATAATTTGACGTACAGCCAGAATCTAATATTTTGAGAAAAAGAAAATAAAATCATATCTCGACATTATTTATTTTATTGTAGGGGAGACTGGGTACGGTTGTGCCAGAGACAGTCGTCATAACATCTAAACTATACTGATTTTCAGATAGAGTCCAAAAAGATAAGGATGAAGTCTGATTGTTCGAACAAGTTTCCATTTTTGCTTTTAGTTAGTCCCTATATGAACATAGTAGACCGCAAAGCTTTGAAAGAGTCAAAACTTAGTTTTCATTTTACATTTGGTGTTTTTAACCTATTTTTATGCCTAGAGGTTGTCCCTGGAGGTGTCAACGGTTATGGCACTTGCCTTTTCCGTTGTATTTAAAGTGTATTGTATTTAAAGACAGTATTTCAGTATTTCCAAGTAGAAATGTTCAAATTACCATTTAGTTTACTTTTCTCCCAGCTAACTGGTAAATTAACAAAATTATGGCTGATCAAAAAAGTGGCACAATCGTGTCCTGTCTCCCCTTAGAAATATAGAAATATAAAATATTTTTAGAATAAACCAATGGTTAAGAATGTCAGTATTGATTCAGAAATGAACTATACGGAATTTCAAATTCAGTTTATTAAAAAAAATACTATTTTATTAGGTAAGAGATACGAATCATCAATTTCGCAAGGTGTGAAAAGAATGAACGACGTGTAAATATGTCACAACCTTGGCTTAAAACACACGGAACAACAAAGTTTATGGAACTCTTATGTTAAGATTGCTTAATTCAATTATGAAAAAAAATCATTTGATTTATTAATCATGTTGTCTCTTTGTAAATGCGATGTATGTGTGAAACTTAAATCTCCATAACAAATCATAAAATAATAATTGAGTGCAAATAAGTTTATGATATGCAGACTTAAATAGAATGCGATTTACAAAAATAAAGGACAACATTGCGATTTGGATTTTATATTTTTTTAGTTGTTGATTATTAACCAAATCAATGAAAAAGTAGAGAGCAAACTACTTAAAACAAACTCTGTTTAAAAATATACAATAGCATATAATGTTTTTTTTTAAATTATTTTTAACAACAATCAAAACTACGTGTTCTATGAGCTGCTTTCTATAGTACATCCTAACCTAGTATTTAGGGGGTTAAGATCGTTAGCAATATCATCACCAACTTTTTTTGGAGACAGGCCCAATGAACCAATTTTAGGAGCCAAGGATGATGCAGGACCAACATCTCCTCCGATACATCTAAAGTACACGATTTTTACTTCCGGCAGGCTTACTTTAAGCCTGCCTTGATTATAGATATATGTACAAAATGATTCTCTCACCCTTCATCCCATTACCACTATTCTCCCTGCCCTTATTTTTTATTTTATGTATTTTCCTTTCCGACGACGATATAGTAACAAATAGATAGAATTTTCACAAATAACATAATTATAAATAAATACTAAAAATATTTTATCATCCAAAAATTGTTTATACCTTTGTGTGTCATCTTCAACCTTACTATTACTTGTATGCCTGGTGCTTCCTTCTTGCCTAAGAACTTTAGTTTCGCGTTTGATGGAAAAGATTTTGAAGGCAGTCGCAGCAAAGAGGCAAACGTTGGCTACTATGAGGATCAGCATGGGGAAATAGAAGTATGGGAACATGGCAGCATCTGGAAATGGAAAGATAGTTGATATTGAAATTATTCAACATATTTTAATAAATGAGTAAAAATAAAAATAGATCAAATTATTAAGCAGATGAACACAAAAAAATCTGTTGCACTATTATCATAAGTGACATATCTTTGACTATGATATTATACTCTATTACCTCGTAACCAGCATCTATGATCTCCAAATCCTGGACTGTACTGATCAGGAATACTTGGATGAAACTGCATTGCTGATGTTATTGACACTATAATTAATGTTCCAATCCAGGCGTAGCAGAGGTAGCACAAAAACTTCTTACGTTCAGCTTCGCGCACTCCTCCTCGGAAACCACCTTTTCCACTAAAACAGAAATAAAAATAATAATTACTCAAATAACCATTCATTTTTATTGCATTTATGCATATGACAAGACACTGTTTTATATTTTTACATGTGAATGTACTGATCTAAAATATGTAATGATGAAGTATCATACCCAAGGGTAGACTTATGAACAATTCCACCATTATGTTATATTAAAAAATTGAATTAAATAAATTACTTAAATATTTAAAATGTTAGTATTTTTATAAAATGAATAGCTAGTGGTAATATAATAATTTACAATCTAAACTCTTCATCCATAGATTATACTATAAGTAATTTCCTTGTTTTCCGAAAGATAATTTATTTTTTTACTCAACATTACTTGTTTTGGAAACCGATATAGCAAGGCTCATTTGTAGAAATTAGTCTGATCGATTATACATCTGTTGGTTGGAAATTTTTTAAATATAAGAAGCAATAAAAGTATTTTCTTCATATTCTCCTTTTGCTTAGAAGTGAATTTGCCTGAATCCAGTCAAGGCATAACGGATGTGTTTAAAAATGTGTTATGTTTCAAAAATATTCTAATATATAGGGCTTAAAGATCCGCGGGTAAATAGGTTCACCATCATTATATAAAAAACAAGCAAAATATAGATTTTTCTAGAGATACTATTTTAAAGTACAAGGCAAAAGATGTGTAACCGGCCATCACCTTAATTCTTGCGGCGTCGCTATCAGGATATAAAGGTAAATGTATCAATATTCATACTACAAGTTTTTTTTTCGTTGATTTTTTAGGTTTGAGTTTTCTTGTTTAGTTTATGATCCCTATTTATAATTTTCAAGTTTGCGTTAATTGTTTTGAGAGATGTGTTGTTATTTCTAAATTAGATTCAGTTGTTAGATTAAATTAGAAAAAGTTCTTTTATATAACTTTCATAAAAGCTTACATATGGGTGAAGTAAAAAGAACCAACTAAACCTTTACACTCGCAATAACAAAAAGTAAATTTACTTAAAAAAAGGCAATTTTTCAAAAGATAAATTAAATTAATAGTTATTCAACTTTTGCTGATGTATATATTTTTTGATATACCAGATCAAGGTTATATACAATAAAATCTCTGAAAAAAATCACAAAATTCACATTTAATATTGAGTAAATAATGTAGCTATTATTTTGTAAAATCCCTTTGTAAAAATTGTAAAATGACGGTGCATCTGTTTGCCCCCTGGCTGTCTCTTCTTACCCCGCCCATGGGAAGTTAACTGGGAATTTTACTGAACATAGTTCCATAATTGATTGTTTTCTATGTTATTTTGTAGTTATGAAATTTATTTAGTTTAGACAGCATAATTACTTAAAGTCAAATTGGACCTTTGTGACCCTACCTTAAAAATAGTGCAATAATATGTAATACAAAACATTAAAAGATAGTTCAACTACTAAATTTATCTTAAAGCAAGTTATTGAAATAAAAATAAAATAATTTATTTTAGAATTATTATAGGTCTAATTAAAAATAATGTAATATTTAAAAAAAAATCTAAATTTTGAAATAAATTTACAATAATCACAAAATTCTTTTATAATTTTTGCATATTTTTTGGATTTCAATTATAAATCAATTTATAGGTTTATTAATATTATTCATCAAACGGAAAGATCCAGCGATTTGCCTTGAGGCATAATGTTGTAAACAACTAGTATACAAAGAAGTCGTTAAAATATTTAAGCAAATACTGTATTAATTACGATGTAGAATAACGGAAATGCTAACAAACATAGAATTTAGCAAAATTTAGAATACGAGTAGGGCAGACTGGGTACGGTAGTGACAGTCGTCATAATATCTAAACTAAATTGATTTTGAGATGGAGTCCAGAGAAAGAAAGATGAAGATCTTTTACCTTCATATTCTGATAGCGACGTCGGAGGAATTAAGGGGTAGGCTGATGACATATTTTTTGCCTCTGAAATATCTCTGAAAAAATCTATATTTTGCTCGTTTTTGATATAATGGTGGTGGCCCTATTTACCCGCGGATCTTTAAGCCCTATATAGTGGAATATTTTTGAAATATAACATTAACCTATTTTGAAGCCTATCACAACAGTCCCTCTGGATATGGATGGTTGTGACACTCGCCCTTTTCTGGCATAATTTGATTTTTACGAAGACGAATGTTCAAATTACCATTCATTTTATTTTTAACTCCCAATAGCTGTTGCAACTGTCCTTCAAATGTAGACGGTAACTAACTGGTAAATAAACAAAATTATGGCTAATCAAAAAAAAGTGGCACAACCGTACCCAGACTCTCCTAATTATTGAATAAATAAAAACGTGTTTCAAAATTAATAAAAGAATAAAAACGGTAAGTATATAAAGCAAATTATGATACGTTTATTATTGTTTAATGCAAATATTTACTCCGCATAATTTAAATTAATCATAATCTGAATTATCATCACATTTCATTATAAAAAAGACGCACGCAGCAAAGTTGATGATATGCCACATACACAAGATTAAAATTTGCGTGAGTAAATTATATTATATGAATGGCCGAGAGATAATAATGTAATGAAATTGGATTCAGATGCATTTCATAGAATTTCCAACGAAGCAAATATTGTCATTCTATTAGTCAATGGGAAACAAACAAATATACAGTACAGGCCAAAAGTTTCCGGACACATGAAAAATCTCATTTTCTGAGTTTTTAGCTATATTTTTCATATAAAAATAATTTTATTCAAGTTAGTTTTGTACATTCTACGTAGTATTAATATTTAGTGACTGATTTGTAACCAATTTGTGAGAAATGACGGACTAATTAGTAATGAAAATGTTAAAATGTCACAGTCGATTTTCCTGAATATGACCACCCTTTGCTTTGATCGCTGCAGCGCATATTTTTGGTAATCTTTTGACAAGTTTTTGCAATGTTTGCGCAGGTATGTTCTTCCAGGACTCGTTAAGGCAATTCCACAGGGCAGCAAGGCTGGTTGGATGCAAATCCTTCACGCGGCATTTAAGCTCGTCCCACAACAGCTCTATTGGATTAAGATCCGGCGATTGTGCAGGCCACTCAAAAAACCACTTCTGCGAGCAGTAAATAAACAAAAGAGATTGCAATTTGCCAAAACCCACTTAAATTGGACCATCAATCAATCGAAATCAGTTTTATGGACGGATGAGTCAAAATTCGAACTTTTCGGAAGTCATCGACGTAGGAAGGGTAATGAAAGACTCAATTCTAAGTGTATTTCGACAAAGGTGCAGCACGGTGGTGGTTCAGTGATGGCTTGGGGTTGTTTTGGATTCAATGGAGTCGGATCGCTTGTCAAAATACATGGAACTTTAAAGAAAGAACAGTATCATAGCATACTTGAGCGCCACGCCATTCCATCTGGTTTCAATTTAATTGGTCCAAAATTTATTTTTCAACAAGATAATGACCCTAAACACACTTCCCGACTCTGTGCCAATTATTTGGAGCGAAAACAAGAGCGAAAACAAGATGAAAAATACTTCAAATAATGGATCTTAATCCAATAGAACTGTAGTGCATTTGTCTGACTGATTTGCTTCCAAGCAGCCTCTCTGCCCTGTGGAATTGCCTTAACGAGTCCTGGAAGAACATACCTGCGCAAACATTGCAAAAACTCGTCAAAAGATTACCAAAAATATGCGCTGCAGTGATCAAAACAAAGGGTGGTCATATTCAGGAAAATCGACTGCAGTGACATTTTAACATTTTCATTACTAATTAGTCCGTCATTTCTCACAAATTGGTTACAAATCAGTCACTAAATATTAATACTACGTAGAATGTACAAAACCAACTTGAATAAAATTATTTTTATATGAAAAATATAGCTAAAAACTCAGAAAATGAGATTTTTTCAAGTGTCCGGAAACTTTTGGCCTGTACTGTATATCATAACATATTAAATTTCAAACAATAAATTGCGCTTACACATATGTTCTACAAACTATTCGTCACATACAATGACTTGGTTTTACTAATTACGTATCAGGTCCTTAAAAACAAAAAATTTAAAGCTTAATTTTAAGATTCAAAAAAGCTTACACTTGGATGGGGTAAAATACACCAACTAATGCTTTACTCTGGCAAAGGTGTAATCAAGACAAAATTTTAAATAAAGAAGTAAATTAAGTTTAAGAACGCATTTACAAAAAATGAATTAAATAAATAGGTTATTCCAACTCTGCTCATGAATATTTCTGAGGAATTATCAGATCCAGGTTATATACAGTGTTATCTCTGTAAAAAATATACCCATGAAATTTATATTTTGCACTGGTTGGATAATGTAACTATTATTTCGTGAAATCCCTTTAAAATTAAAATAAGACATTGAACTTGTTTGCCCCCTGGCTGTCTCATTTTACCCCGCCTATGGGGTAAAAATGATGACACATTTTTGAAAAACAGCAAATAACACATTTCTACAATGATGAATTTCTGTGAGTTTTGCTGAACATAGTCAGATAGTTTTTTGCTTGATTCACGCTATTTATTGTGATATAATCATATTATTTTTCACAATATAATTGGTCATAGTAAAATTGGATTTTTGTGCCCTACCCTATCTAAAAAAATAGTAAAATTTTTAGTTTTTTTTGAAAAATTTTGATTCTTTTTTTATATTCATGTAACACGTGATATCTTACCAGGCCTCTCCTTGCCCTTATCATAATTTGTGATTTTTAGCCTTTACAGCTTTTTTTATTTTTTTAAACCTAATAATATATTTATTAAAAAAATATAATGTACTCTTCACCTTAGAGATCTTACGTTATATTAATTAAATGATTTAAGTTTAATTAGATTTTATAATGAATAGCCAAATGACAAATATTGTATTTAATTGTGCATTTTTCTTATAATTTTTTACATCAAAATCAAACAACATACTTGACACTAAGCGAATAAATAAAATAAAAAATTACTTATAAGAAGACTGAATAAAAGCACAAAATAATAATTATTATTAAAGACCATGACTTGCATATAAATGAATGAATGAATCGAGATTTTACGTTAATTTTATTCACAAACTACTGATGAGCAAACAAAGTATCATAAATTATAAAACACAAAGTTTGCTTGTATTTTTTGTACAAAAACATCCAGAACTCAGAAAATTTCATGAGACTAATCAGCACGTCTCCTTATCAATAGAAATCGAATTTATTTTAAATCATTCAAATCGGTTGATCCGTAATCCTCCGAAATCGTGGTCAAAAAATTGTATCCGTACATACATACGCACTCTCTCTTTCTCTCTCACACAAACAGATACACCAATTTTTTCTAAGATATGCCAAAATGTTGAGGAGGTCTTGAAACGTGAAGATATGCAAAAATTTTCTTTTTTGACTCTCTCTCTCTCATACACACAGATACACCAATTTTTTCTAAGATATGCCAAAATGTTCAGGAGGTCTTGAAACGTGAAGATATGCAAAAATGCTGTTTTTATTTTTTACCCTGCGGAAAGTTATTAACTAGCATTTTTTCAAACAATTTTTATTGAAAAATAGGCTGTAGTAAATCAAATAAAATTAACCGTATATTCACAATGTACAATCAATTTTTTTAATTGTGTCAATTTCAAACAGCAATAAGTACATGTATCTTAATTCCATTATATCATGTTATTATTCAATTAGTTAATGCGTATTTTTGAATTAACAAGAAATTTCATGAAAACGGTTACGTGTCAGAAATCCCAAACGCACAGTTAGGAAATATAATACATTCGTTATATACATATATAAATGTTAAATTTGCATGTGTGGATAGATATGTGATGGTCAAAGTAAACCACACCTCGTTTGACTGGACAAAACATGTATTAATATACAAATGTTTATTTAGTGGAATATTTTATTGTATTTGTCTCGTCTATTCAAGCTAAAAGCGATGAGTTATTAATGGTAAAATGTCATATTTCAATTTTACATTCAATGTGCTTCGATTGTAATGAGTAAGATTAATGGAAGACATTATTTAAGGTTAATTTTATAGTAATTGAAAAGAATTAATGACTAATGTGAAAATGTGGTTTTGCATAGTAAATGGTATTTGCATAAGTTTATTAGCACTCATTACATTTATTAGTTAATTTACATGTCAGATGGAAACCGTTTGCAAATGCATTAATATTATACATTTATAATTATGCAATATATTCTCATGTCATGATGTTTGTCGCAATACTTCTCCGAAACGGTTTGACCGATTTTTATGAAATTTTATAAGTATGAGTGTGAATCGTCCAACATCGTTTTCTCATGAAAATTTAGGGCTTTTTAATTACGAATTATAAAAAATTATAAAAAAATATCCAAAAACTAAAGAAAATCTTAAGGGTGGCCTCTTGCTTACCACCTTGAAGTACAGGGTGCGCCATTTATATTTGGTTAATGGAAATGTTGAATAACTTGAACAATTTTCGATGAATTTTGATAAACTTTTTTTTATTATCAAATTCAAAGCCTGAAATTGTATTGGAATAACCTTTACAAAAAACCTTTACTGCATGCAATCGGTTAAAATCTATCAATGTTATTCAATTTTTCCATCGACCACCCTGTACTTCTAAGTGGTAAGTAAGAGAAAGCCACCCTTAACATTTCCTTTATAGTTTTTGGAATCATTTTTCATTTTATTTTTTTTTAATTCGTAATTAAAAAGCACATGAAGCCCTAAATTTCCACCTTCTTATTACAAACCCCTATTTCGTACAAATTATTTTGGCAATTGAATAATTTTTCATCCGGCGTGCAGTCAATTAATGTTTTTGACTTGATTTTAGTTCAGATTTTTTTTGAGTTGATGAAACAACTTAAATTATACTTGAAAAACTATTATTATTATCAAGGGTTGTCTAATGCTAACACTTTTTTCCAGTTTTGAATTTTCCAATCAATTCTCATTATTTTTAATGCTGAATTAAAAAATACACATATCTCTAAATTTTCATTTTACAATTCTAGGTGTTCAATTATTTTTTATATAGCTCGATTACTAATCATGATTAGTAATTGCAAGTATAGACTTTTTTGTGAACGTCTTTCATTGAAAATTGATCAAGATCTTTGTGAACTTATTGAAAAGCTTGAATTTATCCATTCTTTCCGATGAAACATTTTCAAAACAATTCTTAGATATTGACGATGAAAAGGTTACTGTCGATAAAGTTTGTTGCATCAAATTTTGAGATTATTATAGATTTGAGATCGATAACTTCACACAAAAATTTGATAATATACTGCTTGATATCGAGCTGAGCGAGGTTGTAAACGAGCCAGGAATTAGTATAGATATAGGAGGCATCTATTAATTACGTGGTCAATTTTTTAGGGATTTTTGGACCCTCCCTCCTCCTCGGTGATATGTCGTTATATTTTAAATTACCCCCATCCTCCCCCACCAAACATTACGTGTATTTTAGTTACGTAAAATTTTTCGAATTCACAAAAAAACGTAATATATTTTATTTTTTTTGAAAAGGCTTGGATTTTTTCAAACAAATCAGGTAATAAATACACGTAATATCTTACTAAACCCCTACCTCCCCCCCGTAATGTTTCGTAATTTTTTTCCAAACCCCCTCCCCTAAAGGCCTCACATGATTAATGGATGTTCCCATATAATTTTATACAAATAAAAATAAAATTATGTTAGTTATTAGTCATTAGTACACATTGTTGCCTGTGCACGATTATTAAAAAAAGATTTTCATTAGCAGTGTACTTGAACATCATAATATACTATAATTTATTTGCTAAATGACTAACAGTAACATCTCAATTGTAATTGAAAAAAAAATGACAAAAGCAAAGCCCTGAAAAGTAGATATTGTTATCTACGTATTAGCAAAAACTCATTTACCTTCAAGAATCTTTGTATTTCAAATATTGTTTTAATAACGTCATTCGAATAATATTTAAACAGATTAAATGAGCATACACATTTAGTTTTATACAAGTATTTCGCATTTAGCGTAGTTTCTATATGAAAATAGCCCTTCTGGATGAAAAAAATAATAAAGTAAAAATAAATAAAGATACTTATTTGAAGTATCAAAACATTTAACGACGACTAGTAAAGACAACTACAGGGTTGCCTCATTTTAACTAACTAACTAAATGTCTTCATAAAATAGACAATCTATATGCAATCTATATAGATAATCAATCTAGGTAATTCAAATAAAAAAGTCTTAATTTATAAGAAATATATTTGTAATTTGTAATAAATAGATCTAGGTAATTTATAGAAAAAGTCTTAATTTTTAATAAATATATTTGATAAGCAACTTACCTAAATGCCCACCAAATATCAAAACTCATGATGTTCAACCAGAAGTAGCTCAAAATGAAGGCAACATAGCAGATCATGCCTGAAATAGAATAGATATTGTCACTTAAAATATTTAAATAATAACTTTGATATTTATGATATTGTTCGAAGTTTATTTATATTGAATTATTACTTTTACCTACCATAAGATATGCATTCTGCATCGCCCATGCTCCTGGTGCTGATCTGAATGACCGCCAGGAAGGAATATGCAGTCGCCAATGCACCGACATAGTGCATCAGAGCTTTTCCATGGATTGTATGCAATTCAGGCAATATCAGATAGACCAAAAATGTCAGGATGAGAAATATTATACTTATAATCAAACCTGAAATAATAAAACATGTAGATAGAGTCATAAATTTTGCTTATTGAAACATTGTCTAAGCAACGATTTTTTCAAAAATTTTACTACTAATTTTCAATTTTGTATTTTTTAACACAGTTTTATGATTTCACTAGGCGATAAGTAAAGCAATAAATACCGATAAACTAATATGTACATGCAAATGAAAATTATGATTTGAATATGAGCTTGTTTGTACATATGAAGCAAAATTTTGCCTTTCAATGACGTTTCCTCGAAACCGCTGTACCAATTTTAACAGTTTAAATATCATTTCATAAAATATAATAACAACATGTTTGTATTGGATAGGTCCGGACATTTATTTGTAATTAACAATTAAATAAAAAAAATTGATATTTCAAAAAAAATCTGCTATCAATTTTTAAACATTCAGATACCGATTAAAAAGACACTACTCTCATAAAAAAGTAGTTAAAAAGTAGAAATACGCATGTATTAATATTATTGAAGATATGCATTAATTAAAAATCTAAGTAAATTATTGTTTTTATTCCACTTTCTTGTTTTTCTAGTATTATTTTATTATTCAGAAATTTAATTTATTTTTATTATTAATTTCATTTTTATTATTATTTGCTTTTATTTTATATTAAATCATCATTCTATGGATACCATTTTAATGTTAATTCTATCCTTTGTACTCTTATTTATTTAAATTCATGTTATTGTTTATTATTATTACTAGATGTTAAATTATTTAACAGTTGTAATAAATATGTTAATTAACAAAATAATAATAAAAAAAGTAAATTATACAGAGAATCTAAGTAGATTATATTAAGAGTCAAACTCGTAAATCAATTTTAAAAAAAATAATCAATGCAATTACCAAATGATATCTTACCAACAATGTTGATTCAGAATTTTTTGCAAAAACTTAGATTTTTTTTGCATTTTCCGACTTTTGACTCATCATATTTCTGTAAACCTTGATGAATTTTTAAAACTAAACCACTTGTAGGAGCATAATATTTTAGTATGTTCCTTAAAATCATGATTCCTATCGTCAGAATGTTTGATAAAAATTCCCCAAAAACTTTCTTTACCATTTAATTTAGAACAAAAAACCTGTCCAATCGTTACCAAAAACTAACCAGCGCGATTACCATCAAATCTTTTTCGAAGAGTGTTTGAATTTTTAAAATCGATTCAGAATTGCGGGTTAGAAAACTAATCAACACTTATCCAGTTACATGAAATGGCTTTTTCAAATCGGTACAGCCATTTTTAGGAAATAGACAAAATATCTGAAAATCCGCTCACATATACACACACATCCCCATGTACTTTTAACAAATATGGTTTCCTTCGATTCAGAATGACTTGAAACGTCGAGAAAACAAAATTAGCAAACCAGATTTTCTGACGAAAACATAAACATCTTCTCCGGGAAGTTAAAAATAATTAAAAAAAAAAATTAAATTAATAGTTATTCCAAATCTGATGATGAGTTCTTCTGAAGAAGTTTGCATATATGTAAGCTTTATGTAAAATGTGTCCATAATTTGAAACTTTTCTTTATCAAAATATTTACTTATTTTTTGGTAATATTGTAATATAATAATATAATAAACTTTTTATATGAATTTTAATTATTTAGATAACTAATAAATGTATTAAAAAAAATTAAATTAATAGCTATTCCAAATCTGACGATGAATTCTGCTGACCAAGTTTGAATACATTTCTAATCTTTACGAAAAATGTGTCCACAATTTACTTTTTTATCAAAATATTTACTTATTATTTGGTAATAATATTACAACTTTTTAAGACAATGTCAATTATTTATAATACTAATGAAATGTGGCAATGCAAAAATCAAATATTGCAAAAAATTATAAAATGATATGGTAAAAAGCAGCCTATTAATGTAAACCTTTTCATCTCACCGACTGGAAATATTTGGAAAATCACATCAGTTTCCAACTGCATGTCAATATTGACGCACATCAATGTCCCCCAAGTCCAACTAGTTTCATTCGAAAACTGCATGTAATCGACACAGTAAGATTTATGGTCAAAAAATTTCAGAGGTCCTACGTAATTTGGGACATAGAGAGAACCATTCTGTGAATAAACAAATTGGGGATAAGAAATTGAACAAACAAATTTTATTTGATAGTTGTATAATTAGTGATATAAAATATAAACAATCAAATCATATAGAATTTATTTTTCATAGCTATGTATGAAGGAATGCAAAAATGTGTATTTATTTCTGACAGGAACATTCCAATATTATGAATGGAATGACGTATTTCCAACTAGCTCTATAATTAGATTCTTTTCTACGTACTCTAATAAATTAAATATATAATACTTTATCCTCCTCCTTATTTCCGTATATTTAAAGATAAAACTTACAAGGTACAAATAGTTGATGTCACTCATATGTTGATCTGGTTCAAGCATGAATCTCGATCCATTATTGCAAGTATTTCCTGAAACAACAGCAAACCATCTTCTATCCCATTTATGGTGTCTTAGATCAGCATTTCTGTGATAATATATATCGGGCGCAAATTCTGGTAAGTCATTGGCAACCTCACAATTTTTACCAACTAATCCAGTACCAACTGGACAACATTTTCTTAGGCATTTGCGTAACTTGCACGTGCAACCTCGGAGATGAGGATAATCTGGAATCAGCGCCGCCTGGTAAAAAATCATCATCATCAGTTATTCATAAATAGAAAAAAAGAGTGTGCGTAAGGTTCACACGCGATTGAAGCAAAATTTATTTGCTACTGTACAAGATGGCATTTAAGTAAAAACAAATACATCATATAACAATTTTGAATAATGTTTATTAGTAACATGGTAACACTCGTGATGCACAAATTTATTATGGTAAACCATTATATACATTTATATAATGATAAATTATAAATTATATATTTATAATAGCATTAAAAATATGTATAATATTTAAAAACAATAATGTAATTAAAGTCATACTTCAAATATGACATGATCGGTTTGTCATTGTAATTAGCATTTAGAAATGAACCTTTATTAGAGAAATGAAGTAATTGCTGATTAATAAATTCAATAATATTCGTTGACACAGTGGCCTAAAGAAGTTTTACTTGAAAAATATTACTATTATAAAGATATTTTTTAAATTCGCAAACAAAAACTGGTTTGGCACAGAAGATGATTTGGTTTCAAAGCTTGATTCTACCAGAGGTGCACCATAAAGAAGATATATGTGATGAATGTTTCTTCGTCATTTCAAACAGAAGTTGTATTTTGTTGTTTGTAATAATTATATTTCCGGAAACGATGCGTCTAATTATGATGAAGATAACAAAAAATATACCAAAGCTAGGTTTATTATAGTAGCAAGAGTTGACAAAGATTTTTGTTTTATCTATTTTGTTTTATCGCATTTATTACACATAATGTAGATATTATTTGGTAAAACCTCTTTAAAATTAAAAATAAAATGGTAATTTATTTTGTATCCTGGCAATGTTTTTTACCTAGCTTATAGAGTACAAAGGACCAGGATTTTAGAAATATATTTTCTACAATGATGAATTAGTTGGGAATTTTACTAAACATAGTTTGATAGTTTTTACTAATAGTCAAATTGGCCCTTTGTGCCCCGCGCCCTTCCCTGTGGCTAATTATTTGAATGAATGTAGAAAATATTGTAAAATGGTTGTAAGGATGTAAGGTATTAAAAGTCTGAAAAAAAGACGAAAAAGCGAATTTTTACATAAAATATTAGCAATACAGGCCAATTCATGTTTAGAGCATTTTTCTAAATCCAGGACTTTCATTAAGAATATACTATAATTTTTAAATCAATAGAGGAATTACTAGCAAAATAGAAAGAAAATTATAAAATTGGAAAAAAGCACTTGATTGAGGAGAGCAAAAATGAGAACAGTAAATAAAAATTGAAAGTTGTGAAAATAGCATAGATCTTATACTATAGTAGTATAAGGTACTAATCGTAAGTGTTTTATTTTTTAATTTGTGGTCACAGTTTTATGATTCATTTAGGACAGGGATTTATTTTAATAAAAATTGCGTAAAATATTTTAAAATATCAGCTGTATACGTTGTGTAAATCCTCAACCACTGATAACATAAACTTTGCGCACTTAGAGCAATATATATAAAATGAATCCAATTGTATCCATTTATCACAAATGTCAACAACATATTAGTCATATCATTTTTACCATGATTATATATTTCTTTGAAAATATCACGTACGAGTTTAAGTTGCCTTTTTATATAAATCACAACTAATAAGCAAGTAATAATAAAGTAGATAGACAAAAGGGCTCTGTAGAAAATTACTGTAATACCAATGTATGAAAAATTATTATTAAAAGTCATCCCAAAATTGGTATTGGATTAGTAATGAAAGTAATTCTTAAATGGAAATTAAAACTTGATTTTATGTTGGTAAAATGATAATATTTAAAATATTATTTTATATCAAAGAAGCAAGTCAAAATGTTGCCTCATACTGGGTATTTAGCAAAATATTAAGACAGGATTTAGATATAAATGCTAATTAAAACTTTATAAAGACATTTTATTTTTAGAAAAACAATATTTAGAATAAAATTTTATATCAAAAAAATAATCCAAAATTTTGGCTTACCGTTGTATTAAGAAGAAGATCAATGCCTTCAATCATGGGCATAGTCTCGTTGTCAAATCCTTCTGGAAATGGAACCATGGGTGGCCTGAAAACAGAATTGTTGATTATTTATAATACCACTAATTATTTAACTTTTAACTAATTTTTTACACAATTTTACATAAATTATAAAATGTTATTTTAAAAATTAAAGAATGAAATTTCAAATTAAAGTTTAGAAATTAAAAAAAAAAACAATCAGTTTGGAACAAGTATAAAAAGTAACAAAATAAAATTTGTTAAAATTGATCGATTTGTTGATAATTTTCAGTTGATTCACAGTGTTATTGCATTTATTGCAACTTCATTTTTTACATTTTACCTATAGGTAAAGAACCATGAATTAGCTTAATGGACCGATTCTGCCGCATAACAAAATGTTATGGCAAGACTATGTTATGAAGAACTTTCCATACTAATTCGTCCTAAATATTACCAAAAGCTTATGCAGTCAAGCGTTTTTCTAAAAAAAAAACGATCTTAGATAACAGGGTCTTTCTGACCCAGCTTCATAACATACGAGTGACGTTGCAGTTTATGTGTAAAACGCCTGAATAAACAGCAAATACATGATATTATGACAGTATTCAGTATGTTTCAGTAGCATAATGGATGGACGTTGGAGCGTAACATGGCCTTGCCATAACATAATCGGCCCATAAATATAACTTAGAAATAAACGAGTAAAGATTTTGTTGACTACAATAGGAATACGTAATTCAACTTGCCAGATTTTCCGGCAGCGTATTTATTCCACAGATGTAGAAATGAAACGATTGTTTGCAGTATTAAATATATTTATAAAGGTAATTCTCATATGATATATACCTAAATAATAGCATAATTAAATAAAAAATTTTATGGAATTTGACTATGCAAAATTAGGTAAAAAGTTAGGATACGTAGGCTATTTCTCTAAAATTTAAATCATTTTTTTAATCATCTAAATAAATAAACCGCTGCTCCTAGACCTATAATATTTTAAGGGGTTTGTTTCTACTATCAAATCTACTGCCACACCAAGTTTCATCAAAATCCCAGAAGAGTTAACCTGAAGTTCTCCTTGTTAGTAAATTTGCAAATATTTGAATAAAATTTCGCAATTCGTAATAGAAACATTTAATTCATTTATGAATATACTCTTTACATAAAATACCATATTCTGTGAAATCAATTTAATTTTGGAAACTAGATCGATAGTCCAGCCATTTAAGCAGTAAGAATCTCGGAATTCGAGATACCCTGCTGTATGTCTGTAAATACTGTATATTGACACCGTAAAAGTTATCTCAAAACCTACATATGGTAGAGTGTACATACGTAAAAGTTGTCTCAAAACCTACATATGGTATGGTGTACGTATCATATGTAGGTTTTGAGACAACTTTTAGGGTGACAATATATAGTATTTACAAACTTACAGCTCAAATTCGAAGTGAACTTACTATAATGACTGGACTATGATTCAAGAAAACGTAATAATAATATTGCTAGTAATAGTAAATAGTAACCAGAGATTATCCTTGTTAGTGTAAATAATTTGTGATTCGAGATACATTACCATCTATAGATCAGTAACATAGTTGTACTTTTTGTTAACAAATTTTTGTTAAACTAAAAATACAACGTCTACAATATAAACATGCTGGATTAAAATATATGACTATAACTCCTAAAATCGCATTTAAATTTTTGTCAAAAGGAACTCAAAATGCAAATCTTTCTCTGATGTTATTTCCTGAAGACAAATTACGTCATATAGAAAATAAAAGAGCCACTTTATAGTAAAATAGTGACATTCATCTAAAATTTTAGTGAGTGGGAAAGCTCAAAATGTAATTACCATTCAATGAGGAACACAGTCGTATGTTATGAAGCTGAGTCAAAAAGACCCTGTTAACTAAGAGTGTTTTTTGACATTTGTGCGATTTCTAATTTCAATATTATTTATAATATTATTCTATAATAAAATGTATTTAACCTGAAAAGAGCGCTGTTCTAAAATAAATATATGATTTTGCTGCATATTTTATACTAACGAGGAAAACCTCATTTTTACTCTTCTGTGATTTTGATGAAACTTTGCATGGTGATAGAGTTGATAGTTAAATAAAACTGTTTAAAATTTTATAAGCATATGAGAACTGGTTTAATTATAAAAACTAATTAAAGTTACTCTTCTGGGATTTTGATGAAACTTTGCATGGTGATAGAGTTGATAGTTAAATCAAATGATTCAAAATTTTATAGGCCTATGATTTTGAAAAATGGGCCTATATCGTTTAAACTATTCGGTTTGACTATTAGCTATCGCCATGCAGAGTATTACCCAGAAGAGTAAACCAGAGGTTATCCTGGTCACAATAAAAAATGTAATGAAGCAATTTATTTACACCTTGTGGATAAATTTTTGGCAACGCTTGTATAACTAATATAATAAACTTACATGTACATGAACTGATATTTCTTTGGATAAACAATTCCGTCCAGGATAATGGCACCATCTTTTCCTTTTTGGCCATTTTCAATATTTGAGCTCTCGTACAATTCACAGGGCGCATCGACACCATCTGCCCAATTTGCATTTGTTAACAAGATTGTTAATAAAATAAACAAACACCAAACACTTTTTTCACACATGGTGACTGATTTTTAACAGAATCTTAAATGTTTTAAAAATTAATATTTATTATCACTGGTTTATGTCAACTTGAATTTATTTACATTTTTAGTAAATTATTATATATAAAAAACACTATAGTGGTTAATTATATGGTAACTTTTTTTAAGATATAATCACACCAGACTTTATTATATTCACTGTGCAATTTATATTTATTATTTTATATCTAATTAAATTAACTGCACTTAACTATTTTTTGAATCTTACTCTTTAAGTATTAGCTTGCTAGATTAATATCATATGGCACATTTATTTTAATAATCTTACTTTAGACTTACATGTTCCAAAATAATTTTATTTTAATTTATTATTCAATAACTCACTTTATCATCGTAAGAAAAACTATTAGTTTTTCTTAATTGAAATGTTTTTGTACTTCAATTACACCATTATCTGTTAAGAGTGTTTCTCCTAATCGCAATGATTAATATTTCTTATCAATATAAGATATTTTAAATTTTATCAATATCAATTCGTATTTTGTTTTTCAAGATCACTCATTATTTGATTTTTTGATTATTTGATCACTGTTAAACGTTCTTGACACCAAGTACTGCATCTGTAAAATATAAACAACGTTGTGAATTTTTAATAATAAACATAATTTTTAATAATGATAATAAACATTATATATATATATATATATACATTTACTGAAAAATATTTTTTGTTTAATATTTACACAACCTATTTGTAAAATATGAATTTACAAATTTATTTATTTAATTTTTTATTTAACGTTTAAAATTTATTTATTGAATGATTCATAAATAATGTCAAAACCAAATGTGTGAAATAACGTATTAAATTTTCGAATCAATTCGACTTCGAGCAGCAAATTTTCATAGATAAGTAATATTATCAATTATTGCAATTGGCCAACTGCATGGGCGTAACAAATTGATAAATCTATTTGTTGCTTGTGGAATAAAATGACTAATACTAAATATAAAATAACTGTTTATACGACATACTATTTTCGAATAACCAAAACATTTTAAAACTTAAAATGTCAGCAATTCAAGTTTTGATGCGATTTATAATAAAACGGTCATTGACTACATTGAAAATAGATTACTGGTCCCAATTTCGAAAGAAGTTCCTTGTCAACAGTAAAGAATGAAAAAAATACATGAGTTCAGAATTTGGACAAAAAATAAACCAACCATATATAAGAAATAAAATATATCCTAATTTTAAAAAATATAAAAATAAATGAATATGAAGGTTTTGCTATCTAAAATCTAGACATTGCTTTGCTAATCTTACATTTTATTTAAAGTCTGATAATAAAGCTATAATTACTAACAATAATAATGGATTGCATTGCCCTAGGGCAGGTCCGTGAACTGGGCGACAGTTTTACCATTGCCATTTAACATCGCAGTGCCCGAAATGGGGGCTATTTTCAATTGGAAACACATTTTTGATCTTGATTTTTAAGTGAAAATTGATATAACGACTGCATGATATCAGGTTATCCAGAACGACGATTCACACAGCGCACACAAGGAATGCGCTTAACCATTATGCTAACACCCCTGAAAAAACTATATAAAAATATATTAATTTATTGAGTTATATTGGAAAAAAAATGCTTTTACAACAAATATTTCTCTCTGAAATTTTTGCATCAACCAGGCTTGAAATTGGAGGATCTTCGACACCAAAAAATACCAATTAAAACTAGTTTTGATATAAGTGCGCATCTTATTATTTTTTTGTCATGAAAATAATTTTTGTCATAAAATGTAAAAAATGAAAAAAAACTGTAATAATTTAATGCGTATTACTCTCCATATTTAATTTATTTAAGGGTATTGTGCAAAAAAAAAAAATCTTCAAAGAATCAATTTATTCTCTCAAGCTAAGAAATATTAGCTTTCAAAACGTATAAAATTTGATGGCTTGACACGTTTACTACTGCGCACGCATATGTTGCGTGAGACCCTTGTCAATTGCTAGAGTAGTGTTTTTAGTAAAATAAAATGTTTAAATTTAAATATGAACTGTAGTTACTTCAAATAGAAATAGTCCTATTTATCGTAATTTTTTGCATTTTTTTAAATTTACAGCTAACATATGCAGGAATGGTTTTATGTTATATTAAACGAACAAGAAAATTTAGCACAGGGAAAAATATAAGCATGGTTAGCAGTAAATGAGTTAATACGCAAAAAATACAAAGCAATCATTTATCGAAAAAAATCACGTTCCTGAAAGAACTATGTAATAGCATCATATGAAATTATGAGACCGATTCCGCCGCATAACAGAAAAATGTTATGGCAAGGCCATGTTACGCTCCAACTTCCGTACATTATGCTACTTAATCATACTGAATACTGTCAAAATGTCATGTATTTGCTGTGCATTCAGGTGTTTTACACATAAACTGACATAAACATCACTCGTATGTTATAAACCTAAGTCAGAAAAACCCTGTTATCTAACATCGTTTTTTTGACATTTGTTCTGTTTCGGTTATGTTTTTTATCTGACAACCTGAGAAAATCGCCTGACTGCACACCAACTTCATGACTTTTGCCAATATTGAGTATGGAAAGTTCCTTATAATATGGCTTTGCTATAACATTTTTCTGTTATGCGGCAGAATCGGTCCCTATATGAGAAACAACCACTAAATTGACAAAAAGAATATATATAATATGTGAATTGGATATACCTTCATATATTTCTCTAAAGATGCAAAATTTCTTTAAACGCCTTTGAAATAGTATTATCGCAGATTTGTCAAAAAATAAATACAATTTCAAGCTGATCAAGTTGTATATAAATGGGGATACACATATTGAAATGGAGTATGTTTATATTTTATTGATAAAACTTTTTTTGAAGATAAGAACGATTTGCTACAAATAAAGTGTTGGTATTGAAAGGTTTCGCACGTACTCACTCACTATCATGAAAAACCAAAAGGTTTCGTATAAAATAGAATTTTATTTACATTTCAAAAAAAACCAACACAAAACATAATAACATGAATAATTAAAAAAGTTGCATATCTTGAATTTCGGCTTATTTAACCAGAACTGTGTGTACGAGTGTCGTCCATAGACGGCATCGGTGCGCCTACTAACTATTGCTTTCAAAACTGAGTTAAATTATAAAGAATTCTAATTTATTTTATTGTACTATTTAGTTTTTGAAAGTGTAATTTTTAATTTTTGAATTTTCATTAATAATAATTTATTGAACATTGATTATAATCACTGGAAAATATGTCGTGTAACAATTACTTGGGCAGCTTGTTGGCAACAACCTCAATATGTTTTAGCGTCAGTGCAATTTTTTCATCCAAGTTTTCTTATATTCAACATCATATATAGATAATATTTAAATCTTCACGAAAATACACTACCTGAATTTACTTATGCTTGTTCTTGGTATTGAAAATTATGAAAATGTCTATCGATCTGGCGTGCGATCAGGCGTATTTTACATATAAACAAGCAAGGAATAATATTATGAAAATGAATATTGGTCATCTTGTTTGTATATATATATATATATATATATATATATATATATATGTATATATATAAGTTATACCTAATTTTTTTTTTAATTTTCAAAATTTTTCCATGCTATTTCCATACAAAACTTTGATTGAATTGCGCTCTATCTAAAAGTTAATATTGAGAGCCAAAACTAGTTAATATTGAGAGCAACTACCTCTAAACATTTCGCTATAAATTAGGTTTAATAGAATTTCAAATCATTCATCGTCAGTTAAAAAATGAAAAAGTATAAAAGAAAGCATTGCGGAAAATATTATAAATGAATACAAAAATTATATTATTATTTGGCAAACCTAAACAATTGTTAAAAATTCTTAAAAAAAACTGTTGCAAATAATTAATCAAAATTAGAACAAGTGGAGGATTATTTCAGAAACTAGATTGGACTATGAATTATCATTAGGAGCTTTAGAGAATCAGAAAAAATAGCTGAGCAGTTTCTTTCAAATATATCTAATTCTACAAAATCAAAATCCAGTACAAAAAAAAATAGTAAAACAATTTTGGTGTGCATTGTCTTGTTAGCCAAGTTATAATATACATGTATATATATATATATTATAATGATATGTGATGCAACAAAGTAAAGCGTTATATTTTTTTCATTTTCATTCTAAATTTCATTGTTTAAAAGCAAAAATGTCGGAAATTATATCACACTTTAGAATCAGTTTATATTTGTTCTAATTGGTCACCTTTGACACGAATTATGGCCTTCAAACGACCGAAAAGCCATAACACGTTGCACGAAAGTGGCTCTGGGGCATTTTGGCCCATTCCCGGCGAGGCGCCTTTTTGAGATGATCGACAACTTGGTAATTTTAGTGCAAACCTTGCTCTTCAAAATGCCCCAGGCACAAAAGTCCAACGGATTTAGTTCCAGAGATTTTGGTAGCCATTGTGCGATGGACATGAAGCAAGAAACCTCTTTTTTAAGTCATTTTCGGTTGACGCATGCTGAGTATGATGGTGATGAGTCCTGTAGAAATGTCCATGGTCTGCGACCGAAATGTTTGTCTACTCAGGACTTCAATACTGCCTTTAAGACATGTTTCCGATAAATTCGGCAATTATTTTGATCCCACGGTCGATGAATACGAGCGGAATGTCACCATTGGCGGTTACGGTGGTTCTCACCATTACCGTCGGCGGCGCTTGAGTTCTGGTGGCCAATCGAAGGTGTAAATTTTCAGCTGACCTTTTTGGCAAGTAAACCCTATCATTTTGCTTGTTCACAAACTGCTCAATTTGGAATGACTTCTTATCGTAGAAAACCAAATTCGGTAACTAGCCACTTTCGTGCAAGCATAGCAACTCCTTGGCTCTTTCCCGTCTAACTTTTTTTCTGTGCATCTACGAACTCTTGCACTTTTTGAAACTTCAATGGCTTTTATCACGGTTACAAAATATGGTACGAGATACAAAATATTTGTTCGCATTTAAATGCTGATGGGCTCTAACGATAGCCGCGTGTGGTTTTCCAGCCAAATATAAAGCAATCACACTATCACGCTTGACTTTCATCAAGAATATTTTTTTTTTGAATGCAATAGATCAAAATGCTTTTGTACGCTTGTGAACAACTAAATGAACAATCACTGAAATAAATCTGTCAACTGTTTGATGAGCGGTTTAGAAATGATAGCAGTCTGAAATTGGTGCAATACATATCAGCCACCCTGTATTTATATATATATATATATATATATATATATATATATATATATTATTGTAAATTTGATGTTGACATATGTATT